AGTCTTGGTAGACATGAAGAGTAGATTAACTAAGTAAGTATTTCACCAAATAAATGTAGATGTCCAAAAATAGGGAAAATAGCAAGAGGTAGTCTGAGCATTATTCTGTGTGTCATCTTTTACCTAGCATGGTTGGTATCTTAGTATAAGAGAATTACCTTTGGGAATCAAGGCGTACAGAAATCGCAGAATTGGTCATTGGTGTCCCTAGGGTTTTGTTGTGATACTACCGGGCACTTGCATTTTCATTTACCCCTTGCATAGTGCACATATATTATAGTTATATTATACTGTTTAGGAAATAATGACAAGCAAAAATTGTGTGTGTTCAGTATATGCCCAGTTCTTTCACTTCAAATATTAATGATTTTTGGTTGGTTGAATCTGCAGATATGGAACCCATAGATATAGAGGGCTGCTTGCTTTGTGTACAGCCCTGGGTATGGAGGAGGGGTGCTGCTTGGAATTAGTGCTGCTGGGCGCCTCCTATCAGTGACATTTCACATGATGGAATCCTCCCTCGTTCCTGAACCAATTGTAGATTATGGGGACCTTTGGGTATATAAGTGAATAATTATAGTCTAGTAATTGCTGCCCAGAATGAAAAGCTTTTCAAGTTTTATAAACTTTAGAGAGAAGACTACCCTATTTGTTAACCATATTTCTTTCGGTAGGAGGGTGTCCGCATGGAAGAAATAGTTGAAGGTTGTACTGGAGCCCTTCACATCCTAGCTCGGGATGTTCACAACCGAATTGTAATCAGAGGACTAAATACCATTCCATTGTTCGTGCAGGTATGTTTCGTTTTCAAGTGAGGTATTCTGGATCTAGATTTTATATGTTCTTACGTTTTCAGAAAATTAAGAGACCAAAATAGAGACACCAATACTTAATTTTATGAAAATGTCCTTCATTTTCCTTTGTCATTAGAAGGAGAAACAGTGAGACTAGACCTTCAAGAAGAGGGGAGAAACTTCACATTACATTTTTAGGGTTGCTCAGGTTTGGAGGATGGAAGCTGGCCTGCCAGGGCACAGGCATCCAGCCAGCTCTGGTTTTTCCAGATCTTAGATTCAAATGGCCTCTGAAGAAAGGATTTGTAACTCAAGAGTATTCTAGATAGAATTCCAGTGTTCTAGAGCATTATACAATCTAGGACCTAAATTCAGAGAATATGATTTGAAACCAATAAATGCTGCTCACACTCCCAATTGGGAATGTTTGCACCGCAGTGGGGTGCTTGCCATGCTTTTAATTATAGATTTAATTAGGTCTTGTTTATGTGTTTTCTCCTTAGCTGCTTTATTCTCCCATTGAAAATATCCAAAGAGTAGCTGCAGGGGTCCTCTGTGAACTTGCTCAGGACAAGGAGGCTGCAGAAGCTATTGAAGCAGAGGGAGCCACAGCTCCTCTGACAGAATTACTTCACTCTAGGAATGAAGGTGTGGGTAAGTAGAAAAGGAACAAAAGCCTTTTAGTGGATGATGTGCGGACAGTAAAGCCTCAGCTTTTCCTCAATGGCCATTTTTCTCTTCCTTTCCCAGCAACGTATGCAGCTGCTGTTCTATTTCGAATGTCTGAGGATAAGCCACAGGATTATAAGAAACGGCTCTCAGTTGAGCTAACCAGTTCCCTCTTCAGAACAGAGCCTATGGCTTGGAATGAGGTAGGCAAATGTGTTCACATTGATCTGGTAGTTTGCTAGAGCAGATTGTTAGATTGTTGTTTGCAGCACTCAGTACATGTTCATTTTCATTGATGATATCCCTGGATTGAGTGTTGGTTGTCTTTATGCTGTTCAGCAACTGCTTTGAGGAAGAAGGAAGCAACCAGTTCAGAATCATCATAAACAAGTTGTCCCTTAGAATTCATAAGGAAGATAATAGATTAAAAGGTTTATCGTATATTTTTGAGGAAGGGTATATAGGAAAGAGGCAGTGTTAAGCAGTTAATTCAAGTCAATTTATTGATACTTTTTTAAAAACAGTTTTTCATATCTATAACAAATACAAGTAGAAACAAATTTTTCTTCAGTACAGGATTTCATTGAAACACTGTAGTAAACAAAATTAAAGCCAACCTGGAAGACTGTTTTACCCATCCTATAATAATAGACTACAGAACATAGTCATACAATATATTTGTTGAATGAATGGAAAGAAAAAAAAAACAAAAAACCTTAGATTGCCAATTTGAGTAATGTGTTAGTTGGGTTTTTAATAGACATTAACATGTTCCAACTTGAGCCACCCATCCCCTATGCCAAACCTATTCTCATAGGTCTTCTCTGTCTTAGTTAATGGCAACTTTGTTCTTCCAGTTGCTCAGGCTAAAAATCATCTCTTTTTCCTACAGTACATTTTGTCAGCAGCTCCTTGGAGGGGGCATGGGGGCATTGTGCCCATTGGGTTAATTGCTATATCTCTAGCACCAAAAGTGCAGTGTCTGGCATATAGTAAGTGGTTAGTATGTTTAAAGAATTAGTTAAATGCTTTCTCTTTGCACACAATTAAAAATAATGTCTTTGAGGGAGGGATGTTTAAAGGACTCTGATTTTTAAAGTGTTTTTGTAATATTGTCTTCCATGACTTTTGTAATCTTCAGAGAATGCAAGAAAGTATAAGTTGAGAATTTTCATTTTTTCCTTGTATTCTTTCTTACCTTATACTCATTTATCTAGACTGCTGATCTTGGACTTGATATTGGTGCCCAGGGAGAGCCCCTAGGATATCGCCAAGATGGTATGTGTCTCATATTTCTCCATATTTAACTCCAGACCATGATAAAGTTATAAAATTTTATGACAGAGCCAGTTTGCTCATCTGGGAAACCAGTGTTGGCAGGAAAGTAGTGGCTGCAATTAAAGGCAGTTCTTAAATTCCAGAGTCAGCAATAGTGTTTTTTTAATTGAGCATAGGGAATTTTGAACCACACACACTGAGCGTGCAGCAGGATCACACCACCAAATACACGTCACTTCTGGGTCTGTGCTGTGTAGGATGTTCCAGTTGCCTGGCTTTTTATTCTTTTTGGTCAGAGAATCCATAATACCTTTGTCTGCAAATCTATAAGCTCAGATTGGGGGGGGGGGTATGTGTGTGTCAGTACTTATGTAGTTAGTTTTGAAAAGCTAATTTGAATCTGGATAATGAAGATGAAGCATAGAGTAGACTAATAACTCTGAACCTTCTTAAATTCATAATCTCATCTAGTTTTACCTAATTCCTAAACTCTGAAACTCATAGCCTTCTTACCATGACAGATCAATGTCAACCCTTTTTAAGGTGTCATTGGAAAGAGTGTCTTGAGTTTTGTTTTTTGTAGGTATAACCAAAACTTCACCCCATCACACTGCCTTGTTATTATTTCCCTAATCAATGCCTAAGAGGCCACACAGTGGATTGCCGTTTTTTTTCCTCGGGCACCTTAAAGTCTCTTCCAGGGTAAAAGTAGAGTGTTCAAGAGTATGTGGAAGGTATGACTGAAACCGCTGGTGTGGTTCTAGTGAAACACATGGCTTATGTGGTCTCATGGGTGGCCTGGCTCTTGAGGCCTACAGTGAGTCACTGCTTGGCTCAAGAAAGCTAGAGGTTCAAGAGGTTGGAAAGGACTGTTTTCTGACAAGTTTACTTCTAAACTGTGGCTGCCCTAACCTCACTGTCAACCTGTGTGTTTCCTCTCCCATTTTGTTGCCACCCCAAATTTTCTAGATCCCAGCTATCGCTCTTTTCACTCTGGTGGATATGGTCAGGATGCCTTGGGTATGGACCCCATGATGGAGCATGAGATGGGTGGCCATCACCCTGGTGCTGACTATCCAGTTGATGGGCTGCCAGATCTGGGACATGCCCAGGACCTCATGGATGGGCTGCCTCCAGGTGACAGCAATCAGCTGGCCTGGTTTGATACTGACCTGTAAATCATCCTTTAGGTAAGAAGTTTAAAAACGCCAGTTTGGGTAAAATACTTTTACTCTGCCTACAGAACTTCAGAAAAGACTTGGTTGGTAGGGTGGGAGTGGTTTAGGCCTATTTGTAAATCTGCCACAAAGATATATACTTTGAAAGGAGATGTCTTGGAACATTTGGATGTTCTCAGATTTCTGGTTGTTATGTGATCATGTGTGGAAGTTATTAACTTTAATGTTTTTTGCCACAGCTTTTGCAACTTAATACTCAAATGAGTAACATTTGCTGTTTTAAACATTAATAGCAGCCTTTCTCTCTTTATACAGCTGTATTGTCTGAACTTGCATTGTGATTGGCCTGTAGAGTTGCTGAGAGGGCTCGAGGGGTGGGCTGGTATCTCAGAAAGTGCCTGACACACTAACCAAGCTGAGTTTCCTATGGGAACAATTGAAGTAAACTTTTTGTTCTGGTCCTTTTTGGTCGAGGAGTAACAATACAAATGGATTTTGGGAGTGACTCAAGAAGTGAAGAATGCACAAGAATGGATCACAAGATGGAATTTATCAAACCCTAGCCTTGCTTGTTAAAAAATTTTTTTTTAAAAAAAAAATCTGTAATGGTACTGACTATGCTTGCTTTGAAGTAGCTCTTTAATTTTCTTTTTTTTCTTTTTTTTTTTTTTGCAGTAACTGTTAGTTTTTTTTTTAAGTCTCTTGTAGTGTTATGTTATAGTGAATACTGCTACAGCAATTTCTAATTTTTAAGAATTGAGTAATGGTGTAGAACACTAATTCATAATCACTCTAATTGTAATCTGAAGAAAGTGTAACATTGTGTAGCCTTTTTTGTATAAAATAGACAAATAGAAATGGTCCAATTAGTTTCCTTTTTAATATGCTTAAAATAAGCAGGTGGATCTATTTCATGTTTTTGATCAAAAACTTTATTTGGGATATGTATGGGTAGGGTAAATCAGTAAGAGGTGTTATTTGGAACCTTGTTTTGGACAGTTTACCAGTTGCCTTTTATCCCAAAGTTGTTGTAACCTGCTGTGATACAATGCTTCAAGAGAAAATACGGTTATAAAAATGGTTCAGAATTAAACTTTTAATTCATTCGATTGTGTCACTTTTTTTCCTTGACATTAAGTGTTACAGGAGTCTTAAGTTTACCCAGACTACCATCATCCCGAGCAAAATTCACATAGTGAAAGTAATAATTTTATGTTGTAATGAGAGAGAAGACCTTACCTCTGCATAGGATTATTTGCCAAGTTTCTTTAGTACTTGGTCCTGGGTTTAAAATGCCCACCTACTCCCCATCCCCAGTGTATTTCAGCCTAAAACATTGTGATTGATTCTGGACTTTTTGAGAGAAGAGTGATTCTAGAGCTAGTACTCCTTCACCCTAGCCTCTTGTTGTAGTTATGGGTCTAATCTTGCTCAGGTAATCAAAGGCCTCCCCAGTTCAAAGGTATCTGGGTACCTTGTCTTTGAGCTACACTAAGCTAAAAGAAGTAGAGAAAGCTGAAAGCCAAATAATCACCCTCTTTTAGATGGTTTCATTTCTTTAAGGTAACAAGTACTTTTTAAAAGTATACGAATTTGAACTTCAAGCACCTTTACCCAAGTGTGACTCAGAGAAGGGAATTTCTTCAGCTCTACTTTGAACTGATAATTAAGCATGTTTAAGTGTCGATGTCTATCTATCTGAACATAATCAGAGAGCCCAAACAGGTCTTCTTCCACACCATCTGCCAGATGAGCCAGTCATCCTGGTGGTAGGTCTGACAGGGTTCATTGCTCAGGACAGACTTGTAAAGACTTGTGTTTTTAGTCTTTTAAAGTGAAACTGTTTCATGCGTAAGGAAACCTGTTGGTTTACTATGTTTAAAACATAGTGTCTGACAAACATGCATTGAGATCAACTTCCTCTAGGGAAGACTTTTTTGTAAATCTTTCTTTCATAATGAAAGAGGGTGCCTGATGCCAGTACTGATAGGTTGGTTAACACTAAGAACTGTGTTAGGGGACTTAGTTAAATATATTGACATAGGTGCAGTAAAATAGGATGAAGGACAATCTAGAGTTTACACGTCAATATTAATAGTATATATGTAGACTGTGTTTAGACTGTTAAGATGTGGAACACCTATAAAATGGGTTGAAGGATTATAAGCTAGACAACATCTTAGAACTTTTGCCTACTGCTATACTTTTGAAGTTCCATTTAAAACACTCTGATCAGCAGGGTATTCTGGAATGTACTTAGAAGCACTAAGGGCAGTTAATCACCAAAACATTTATGAAGAAAGAGGAAGGCTTGTTCTAGTAGCTGTCAAGCCTAACTTTATAAAGAGGTAGTTAGTACTGTTGTTGGCACAGCACCAGAAATGTGATAGGATGTAGGCACTCAGAGAAACTTTGGAAGTAGCATAGGTTAGCGAGGAAAACTTTCATAAAGCTGCAGAACTAACTATTAGATGGCCAAAAAAATACCCATTACCACAAAATATCAGGGTTTTAAATAAAAGGTAGTACCAATACAGGTTTGGGTTTTACCTCAAAACTCCAGGATGTCTGTGGAGCATGATGTGACACCCCATGTTGCAATCCCATGTGTCCTGGTGTCTTTGTTCACACAAAACACATTCTATATAGTAAAAGAGCCACAGTTTCACACAATATGGGTGTGGGTACATTACAAGATCTCTTTCATACAATACTGAACAAAAAGCAATTTACCAATGCATGCTATAGAACTTAATTTTTTTAAAGGGGGAAGCTGTTTAAGGAAAGAATTCATAGATGGTAAAACTAAAAAATTATGAAGTGCTTAGATGACTACAAAACCCAGAATGGTCCTTAACCTGGGGAGGGGGAGGTGCCATAGGCTCTTTCCTGTAAATTGAAATGGTGGGATTTGGGGAGGACAGGGAATAAAGCCAGAAATGTTGAGCTCTGGCCAGGAGTGGTCCACTGGACAAAATGGTTCTGAAATACCAAAAACTTCCCTGTTTTGTGTGCAACACCGAAGATTACTCCCTGCTTAAATAGAAGGGGGGAAAGAGTCTTCCACTGCTCCAAAATACTTCTGAGAAGACTCCACACCCTGAACCTTAGGGCTGTTCCCCCAGGAACAAATATAAAAGGAGGGGTGGAGGTGTTATAGTTACAAGGAGACCTGTATCTGTTCTGTGCACCCAACAGGCAGAGCCCCTGAAGCTGATCCAGGCCTCTGGCTGCTCCACTAACTACCCCCTACTCTGGCAAGATCCCATACTCTGGCAGATCTAATCAGGCCTGAACCATAGGCATCTCACACAGCAAGACTTAAATCTTGAGGCCTTCTCACTGTGGACTATGAGAGGGCAAAGGAAACTGCCTGTGTTGGGACATAGAATACACTGAGTCACATAGCAAGCTCTGAATACCTACTGATGGACACAAGGGTTACAGAGTCACAGTCTTGAATTCAACCAAGCTGCGGGGCCTTGTGGGCAAGTAAAACAGCACCCCCCTGAGTGTTTTCTCATCTATGAAATGAAGCTAAGGTGGCCTGCTGTGCAGGCTGTACTGGGGATTGAATAAGGTGATGAACATCATTTTTTAGATGGGAAAATGAGGCCTCAAGAGAGGCCAAGGGATGGCCTCAACTTGTTGAAGCTGTCCAAGACCCAACCTGACCTTCCAGATTCAAGAGTAAGCCTTCCCCAGGACAGCAGTCCTGTATCCTTTCATAGTGCACACCAAATAACTGCACTTGACTTGCAGGAAAATAAAAAACCTCCCTGTTTTGTGTACAACACTGAAGATTACTCCCTGCTTAAATAAAAAGGGGAAAGAAGAGCCTTCCATTGTTCTGAAACACTTCTGGGAAGACTCCACACCGTGAACCCTAGGGCAGTTCCCCCTAGGAACAAATAAAGGGGTGGAGGTGTGCTGGGAAAATAGGGAGACCCATGTCTGTTCTCTGGACCCAACAGACAAGACAAAGCCCCTGAAGCTGATCCAGGTAGAATATGAGGCAGAAGCTAGAAAGAAAGCTTTCCAGGATAAGGTGGGTAGATGGTAATAGGGAAAACTATCTTGATGCCATCATCCCATCGAGTTGGGCATACTGTCTAGGAAGGCAGCATTCCTGAGCCTTTTGCATTCCTGTAGGCAAACTCAACCTATCTGTACTGGTTAGTAAATCTTGCCCAGTCCTCCCCAGGACTACTGAAATCAGTTTATCCCTGGAACAAAAAAGTCATGACAGGTAAAGTGGGAGGAAGACAAGGGGCTGAAACTACCTTCCAGAGGCTTGCTCTGGAGTTGCAGTTGGGAAAAAAGATCTTTCCCATAGAGAAGCAGACCCAGAACTGTTTCTGACCCTGCTTTAGCAGCACAGGCAGGGCCTACTTTAGTGGAAGCCTACTCAGGCCACACAGAGAGAATTCTTGATCATGGCTAGCAAACCTGGGCTTCCCAGCTGCATCCTACAAAAGCCAACGAGTCCATTCTGAACCAGTTGTCTAGGGCCCAGAGTTAGTGAGAGAACTTCAGTCCCAGGTTCTGGGTTCAGCTGACTTTTATTGGGTCCAGGCCCAGCTGTGGCTGGTGATGCAGCAAATGTCTGGGAGAGGACCTTACCCACGCAGCCAAGGCTTGGTGTTGCAGAGTGGGCCTGCGCTAGGTGCCTTCCTGCTTCATGCCCACGGCTTGGAGGATTTCCAGGGCCAAGGAAGCCACCACACTGTCAACAGATAAACTGTGAGAAAGACCAAAGTAGACAAGACTTAATAGGCATGTATGGGGTGAAAGGCCTTGATCAAAGGGGTTGTCCTTTTCATTTAAGCATTAAGTGGGACAGCAGCTTCCTAGAGCTCTGTACATGACCTCTCTGGAAAGCAGAAATGAGAACCCCTGCTCCGGAGCTGTGAGGTGAGAATCCTGCTGCTCAGCTCTGGTGGGGCTCAGATCTGGCCATGCTGGTGTCCTTAAGTTAGGCTCTGACTCTCACACACCATCTCAGCTTCTTCTGCCAGGAGCACTGCTGCTGCACTATAAGGACCTGACAGCAGCCAGACTGCTGAGCCTGCACCCTCAGGGGACCTTCCCAGCTCCTTCCTGGAGCACACTTGTGGGTCCTAGAGCCACTCTGCATCCTCACTGGCCTGTCCTGCTCCATTTCGCCAGTTCCTGGCCAATCAGCCAGGAGCTTTGGGTTTCCTGCTCTCAGAGGTGTAGATGCGCAATTAAAAACTTATAAAGTGGAAACTTGGTCACCCCAGCACATTGTTTGAGACACTTGTGAACCTATGATTTAGCAACTGTTAGCAAAGAAAAGAATGACATTCACATAGCACTGACCCTTGAAGTGTAAAATTAGCTCATGGCATACTCTTGACAGCACAGAAATAGAGCTGTTACCACATAAACGGTTGGGTGGGGGTGCCACATGAAAGACGGTGGCAGTGGGATGGGGCTGCAACCAGGACATGGTGCCATGAATTCCTGCTCTGTGCATCAAAGGCCCCGGGGAACAGCGGGAATGCTTTTGAACTCTGGCCTGCTCCTGGCTGAGCCCAGGCTGGTCTGGTGGGGCCAGACTTCCACCCAGCCTGCCAGAGCAGCCCCAGAGGGGCTGGCCAGGAAAGCAGACCAGCCTTCGGCAGAGCAGCATCAGAACTGAGAGAACCGCCACCTACTCTGGCTGGGCCATCTGAGCCAAGTCCAAAGAAGGCGAGGTTTACCTAGTGTCGATGTTTGGTTGCTAGAGTGATGTGTGTGGGTGCAGGAGAGGCCACCACCTGTGGAGCGCTAAGCCTTATTTGGACAATTTAAACCACATTTGGGTCTAGCTCCCCTGTACTGGTTTAGTACAATGTGTTAGCTTTGGCTTAAGGGCAGGCAGAGGGCCCTGCTTGGTGAGGAGCCCCACAAAGGTTGACATGGGAGAGCTGGGGCTGGGACTCTCGGGGGGCTATCTGTCAAACTCCACTCTTCAATGGCTCCCCTCACCCCCAGTGCCCTGCTTGGGGTGACTACACCACTACTCTGCAGAAGGCCAGGATCCATGGATGCCCACAAACCAGCACAGCAGGCCTGCAGCCCAGCCCCAGAAGTCCATCCACATCTGACACCACAGGGGCCCAGCAAGGTGGGAAGGGACCTTTCACCTCCAGGCCAGCCTCTCCTAACCTCACTGGAAAAGCTGGAGAAAAACCACTGATCTGTTTTTGGCAGAGGAGGAAAAGGGGCTGGGGCAGGCCAAGAAGTGGTGTCCTCCTCCCCACAATCCAGCATTCAATGGGACAGGCAGGCTGCCACAGAGCCACTGTGTAGACTCGTCTCAACAACACGGTGGCCATGTATTAACTCAAATTAGTACCAACCCGAAACACGAGCAGGGAGTTCACAGAACCCTGCGGTTCAGAAAACAGAAACCACAGGAAATGCCTGACGCCGGTGATGCACGTCACACACTGAATGAGGGTCAGGCATCCCTTAGGGCGTGGGTCCTTCCCAGGGTGGGGAGAGCAGCTGGGATCAGGAGACTGGCCTGTTCAACCTCTGGCCACCTCCCTCAGCTCTGGGAGCAGTGGCCACAGGGAGGAAGGCTGCATTCACCAACCTCAACCCCAGCCTCGCTGAGGCATTGACCTCAGAGTGAGGCCAGTTGCACGGCACCAGCTGATAAGGGATGGGTGCTAGACCACAGTGAATGAGGGCACCCCTCCCGTGCCACCCCCTGCAAGTTCAGTGGGGGCAGCTGTATGTTACTGTAGGATGGTCCTCCAGTGACTCGTTCTCATGGCCAAGTGTCGGCATTACTCTGGGCTGAGATGCCAGTGCCTGCCCTCAGTGTGTCACATGCTCCTGGGGGACAGACCTACCCCTGGCCTAATAGGGACCTTACTTCTAGGATGTTCTAGACACACAGACTGTCCAGCTGAGGCACAGGAGGCTGGCCTAACCCCACACTCAGCGTGTGGCCTGCTCTGTTCGTGTGTTCCCAATCTGCCCCCCCCACCCCCCGCAAGAGTCAGCTGATCCTCGCCATGAAGCAGGCTGAGCGGCCAGTTCTGCCCCAGGCCTGCTGGGCCTGCAGGTCAGCCACAAGGTACTGATGACAATGCCTCTGGCTGAGGTGCCATGGGGGCATGTGTACGAGGCCAGCAGGCACTGCCTCTCATCAGGCTCACTGCATCTGCACCTGGTTACCGCCCACCCAACCTCCTGGCATGTGGTGGGGATACCGCCATTCTGCAGGGCTTAGGCCTTCTTTCCCCATGTTGATCCCCGCTCCCCTCTTCCTTCCACTACAGTGAAGCTTCCCAGCAGGTAGAGGGCACAGAGCTCCTCCCCACTGAAGTGTCTCAGTGGCAAGGACAGGCTTGGTGGGAGGTATTGGTTCCTGATATAGGGAGAAACGAGGGGAGAGGGGTGGTGGAGAGCATCTGCCAACCCTGTGCAGGCTGCTCGATTCCTTCTGGGCCCCACGTACCTATCACCTGGAGCCAGTTGCTCCAGAGCCTGCAGAAGGCTGCCAGCATTCTTGAGGCTTTCTAGGTGCTTCTCATTGGAGGTGATCTGCAAGGGAGGTGAGGAGAAGAGAGTAACTAACTGGTCCATCCTGACTCGCCCTTATGGATGGGCACCCTGAGTGTCAGCCCACGTGGTGCTGAGGCTGCCTGTGGCACTGGAGAGTGGGCCTCCAGGCAGTCTGCAGTCCCCCCAAACCCCGGAGCCCAGAGTGCTACTGACTGTGAGGATATAGGCAGGAAAATGTGACCCTGGGGTGGGCACAAGGGAGTCCACTGGGGCTGGAGTTGACCAGTTCAGGGTGGGTACCCGTGGGTTCCTCCTGTGGGTCCCTCAGGATGGTTTGTGGTCTGGAAGCCTGAATGTTCCAGTTAAAGCAAAACCCCACTGTCAGTGCTGGGATCCAGCAGGCCAGCTACTAACTGGAGATCTGCCCTTGGGGCTTTAAGCCTAACATGATCCCTTTCATGTGGACACAAGGATCATACTTCTGAGTGCCTGGGGATCTCAGGAGCTGAGAGAGGAGGAAACAACCAAACCCCAGGAAGTGTGCCCAACTCATCGCCAGTCCTGGGAACAGCTCACTTGGCATCCCTGACTCGGCTACACCCACCTGTGGGGGTCACAAACTCTCAGGGCTGGAAGGGGCTTGGATGGGAACTGACCCAGCCTCGGCACCCACAGACCTCAAGTCAGCCCCTACCTAAACCAAGTCCACCTCCTGTGAGGCCGAGACAGAAGCTTTAGGGTGGAACCTTTAATTCTACTATTAGACTTGATCCTTTGTCTTGAATTTTGTTACTAGGGAGTGAACCCAGGGACACTTTACCACTGAGCTGTGTCCCCAGGCCTTTTCCTTTATTTATGTTGCATCTTTTAAAATATTTTTCAACTTCTAAGTTGTCGGGGGTCTCACTAAATTGCTGAGATTGGTCTCAACTTGCAATCTTACCACCTCAGTGTCCCCATTTGTTGGGATTATAGGTGTGCACCACCACACTCGCAAGACTTGCTCCTCTTAATTCAATCTTTGATTGTTAGCTTAATATTGTTGTGATAAACACTGTGTGGCACTTTCCATTTCAGAGGCCCTGGCTGGCCTCAGCTGACCTCACTGCCCAAGTGTTCTGTGTCTCTCCACTTGATCACAGCCACCTAGGCTGGATTAGCATCTCCCTTGTTCTCAAGAAGGTCACAGGGTAATTAAACCTTAACAGGGACCCTGAACTCCATGTGAGTGAATCTGCACCTCCCCCAAGATCCTTTCCTAATTTGTGAGTGTGCCAGAGACCAGCTCCCAGTTCAACTGGCATCAGCTGTGACTTCTGCAAATATTTGCATCTTAAAAGAACTGCAGGTAAATTTGTTATGAAATCTACACTCAACTTGGTGAGCTCAGAAGACTGCTGTTTGGAAATGTCATCTGGAGTTCAAGAAGTCGGAGGTAAGCACAAACCTATATTGAAGGTGCACTGCACATCAGAGCTCTGTGTAGATTCCCACCTGACTTCTCAGACTGCCTCAGACAGCTCAGCTGAGCTACACCTAGGCCTGCCATGGGAATGTGTGCAGAGGCCACACTCCAAGGAAGTCACCCTACAATTTTCAAAGAAATAAAGAGAACTTTTACCTACAAGGTTGGTTAGAAGATGCCAATCGAAAACTACGGTGAGAAGTGTGTAATCCAAGGAAGGGACCAAAAGAGCATCTTATGCAGTGTCACAAACGTAAGGCATTAACAGAGCCCCAAGCACTAAACCATGTGATCTGACCATGCAGCTGAACTCTACAGTTAAACATCAACTCCTGTCCTGTGTACAAAAAGTACATTAGAAAATAAAATCTTTAAATTATATCAACCAGGTTCCACTTCTGCGTAAGACAGAGAAAACACATGCCACCCTGTCTGTCCCTCTGAATGCAACTATCAAACCTAGGGAGAATGCACAGGCCAGCTATTTGAAAATGCCAGAAGGTCAACAGCAATAGGCCAATTTGGGGAGAACCTTGAGTTCAAAGCACCTGCCTGGTGGAGAGTTTATCACTTGTCTCCAGTGCAGGCCAGCCCAGCCTCAGCAAACCCATAGCCCAGAGGGGAGGCAAGATCCAGGGAAAACCCAGCTGGAAGAGTGGAAAGGGAACTCCCCAGAGCTCCTAGAGTAGACGAACCCCCACCACACCTTGCTCCTCTTCCTCCATTGTGGTTACCCTAAGACCTGGGCAATTCTACGGGGGCTGCAGTGGCAGCTGGTGGCAGCAATAGCAACCAGCAACAGGAATCTGTAGTCAGAACTCCTCCTCTCTGCTCTTCCAGTGTTAGTAACAGATATGGTGCAATTGTGGAAAGGGGAGGTTTCTCCCCAGACAGAAAATGGGAGACCCAGGAAACCAGAAAGTACTGGGGAGATTCCTGAGGAAGAGCTTAGGAATGCAACCCAGTACTACTGTGTATGGAATCCCTGGTTCATCCACAGCCTAGTCCTAAATGCAGACCCAAGACTTGGAGAACTGACCTAACAGATATATCTGTCCACATCCCAGACTGACCCCTGGGGAAGGGACATACTAGATAGAGGCACACAACACTGCAAGTCCTGTGAGACATTCAAAATGGCAGTTCCAACCTGCAGCTGAAACTAGCCAGCGTAATTGCTTGCTTAAACAAAAACATCAATATTCTCAATAGGGTTTCAACAAGAGAGAGCCTTATACTGCAATATTTAAAATGACTGGGATACGGCTTAATGGTAGAGCACTTGCCTAGCATGCTCAAGGTCCTGAGTTTGATAACCAGCATTGTAAAAAACAAAAATAGAGGAGGAGGAGGAG